CATCTGGGTTACTTTTTTCTATTAGCTACTGGGACCCATGACACAATGAGATCCTGAAATGGACTTCTTCAAATTGCAGGAATTTTCCTCTTTGTTGCATGTGGTGAATGAATTGGACAATATGCTGTGTCACCTCTGGCTAACAATGATAGCTGATATGACAGAAGGGATCTCCATGCTGGCTCTTGTAATTAAAAGAAAACAATCTTTAATCAGTGAAAAGGTGAAATCTTTTAAGATGGACCTAAAATGAGACAAAAACCCAAGGATCCAAAGTTGGATTAGCAAATGAAAGGAGCTCTAAGGAAGTCTCTGGCAATTTGGCTGAATTAAAATATGTAAACTGAGCATTATAAAGCCATGCCTCTGCATGACTGATAGGTGTATAAGAGAACAAATGGAATCATGAAAGGTGATTGGGTGGAGTCCTCATTCCCTACCCCAGGACAGAGCAAAAATGCTTCCTCATTAGACCCTTTTTTGTGAGAAGCTATTTATTTATTGTGCTTTTGAGTCAGTTTTTGACTCCTGACCTGGACTAGTCCCTGTAGCTTTTGGCACTTTCAGAAGTGGTTTTTCCCTGCCTAGGTCTGACAGAGAGTGACTAGCCCAAGGCCATCCAGCTGGCTCCATGTCTAAAGTGGAACTAGAACTCCTGGTCTCTCATTTCTAGCTTGATGCCTTCACTGCTACTCCAAACTTTCTCTATGTGAGAATCTCAAAGGTGCTTCTTCAAAAGGCAACTGGACAATGCTTTTTCTTGAGGAAGATGTTTCACTTCTCATCCAAGAAGTTTCATCAGTTCTTGGACGAGAAGGGAAACGTCATCTTTCTCAAGAAAAAACTCAGTCCAGTTGCCTTTTTAAAAAGCACTTTTGAGACAACCATGACATGGAGGATGATTGAGAAGTTCCATAGATACTCTGTGAGGAGTTATAAATTATAGAGCATCCACCAAAGCAGAACATTGTTCATTTGTGAGTTTCTCTTAAGATTTCTCGATATAACTGGGGGGGGGGGGGGGGAGAAGGAAGGAAGGGGGTGGAATTAATTAACAACAGGGGAAGGACAGATAAAAAGTACAGTAAGGAAATACTGGAGCTTTCCTTTCGGTTTACAGAAACTTCTGATCTCCTAAGTTGTCCTTCAGAGTGCTTCCCTAATTCATTGACTTTGTGAAAAAGGTATGAATAAGATAGGTGCTATTCAATACAGGGCACCCAACTGCAGCTGCAAGTATAGGAATCCACATGACTGCCTAAGGCAAAACTGAATATATAAATGTCTACAATTGCTTGTCTAAGGTCTCATTTTACAGCTTCTTCAAAAGATTTGAGAAGAGGAGAAGAATGGTTACTTAATAGTGAGGTGGTTTTATAAATAAGTAAGAGGAATATCCACTGTCCCAATAGAGATGCTTCTCCTTGCCCTCAGATGATAGAGTACTGGCTGATGCAACTTCAGATGGGCAGATTAAAAAGAGAGAGATATTTGTTGTCTTAACTGAAATTCTGAGTGTTCTCTGCAGCAGGAAGAGTACTTAGTTATTCTCTGTAGAAGACCTATTATAACCTGGTTCCATCTTACCATTGATTCTACAATAAAAAATTAATAAACAGCCCAGAAGCTACATTTGCCTCTCCATATATATGATCAGTGTTAAGAGAAAATAAAGATTACTTCTCATATTAAGAGAGCACCAGATAGACAAACACACCAAAAGCCTACCTTCCTCACTGATGTCCTTTAAGGAGAATATAAATGCAATCACTTATTTTTCCTCCAGTGCATAAGTTCTCCCACTAATATAAACAGACTTACAACGACCAATGTTGAAGACTGGAGCATGGATATTGTCTTTTTTCTCAAAAGCCAGCTTAATTGTTCTGCATCTCTCACTGCATACTGAAGTAACAGAATTCCATTTTTCATACTCTTTCTTTAAATTTCCTTTAATACTCATATTAATCCGATTCCTCCAGCTTAGAACATAACGAGGAAAAGGAAGCTTCAATTGGCAATTAAATCAGTTTGATTTTAGCTTATAATGAGAGTTATAATCTAGTGCCGTGTTGGCAAACCTATGGCATGCAAAGCCATTTCCTCCGGCACGCAAGAGGTTGCCCGGAAGAGTCCCACTGCGCATGGGCGCACGCTGCCATTTGACAGCTGCTTGTCAGGTATCTGGTGCACATGCGCAGAGGGCAGGGGGTGCATGAGAGACCCACACACATGCGCAGATGCACAGCACATGGGGTGTCTCGCGAGCATGCACAGAGACGCATGACGCACGAGGGGATCGTGCAAGTATATGCAGTGATGTGTGGCGCATGAGGGGGAAACGTGCATGCATGCACAGAGATGCATGGCGCGCGAGGGGGAATTGTGTACACATGCATAGAGATGTGTGCAAGGGGAAATTGTGCGTGCATGCGCAGAGGTGTGTGGCGCATGAGGGGATCGCACATGCATGTGCAGAAATGCATGGCACGCAAGGGGGGGTCACGCATGCATGCACAGAGATGCGTGGCACATGGGGGATTGCGCAAGTATGCGCAGGGGGCGTGGGGGGGGCAGCACGCATTGCCTTCTGGGTGCAGGCACCCGAGCGCACACACAATTATCAGCATGGGAGCCGAAAAAGGTTAGCCACCACTGATCTAGTGCATATAGTATCTGAAAGTTATTTCTAAGTAGATGTACAATAAGGTGATTTATAAACTATTTTGAGAATTTAGAAAATGGAAGCTAATGAGATTTTAATTGAAATCTATGGAAAGTAGAATTCCAACCTGTTCTTCCAGTAGTTTTTCTGGGCATCCCATTCTTGCTTTTACTAAGAAATTAGTTGATTATGGATGTTACAGAAGATATGGGATGTTTGCTCAGTTACAAATTGTTTTACCAAAGTAGTTGTTCTTAAATTATCTAAAAATTCTCTTCTCCTTCCCTTATCCCTACATTTAATGCATCTGGATAGGAGTGGCAGGTGTGTTACACTCTTTCATAATCCTCCCGGCATTCATTTCAATAGAAATTCCTGATAAGCTTTCACATTTTCCAGTTGAATGAGAAAAGAGGGAAAGGGAGAGGCCATGAATGAATACAAAATGACATTCTCATCAATCATTAGTCTCCAACCATTGCAAGGAATTGCAAGTAACTAATGAAAGGGGAATTAACTTATAAAGTCAGCATTAGTGTCAGAGGAAATTATTTAAAATTTTAAAGTCATACAAAGTGTTTTCTTTGGCTATTGATTAAACTCACACTTAGGTGAACACTATGTTTCTTGAATCTAGTAAAGAGTGAGTAGCATGCTTTAATTAAGCTTGAAAGGTCTACAAGAGAATTCAAGCAAATGTTGAGAGTATTTTTATTTATTTATTAAATATATATGCCACCCCTCTCGCTGTCATGCAACTCTGGGCGACTCACAGTCTCATAAAACAATATTATAAAAGTTCAAATCAGTAAGAAAATAAGAGTCCTGCATGCAGTTAAATTGCACACAAACCACTGATTTCAGTAATGATATGCAGAGTCGAAGCCCAAATGTCTTACTGAACTAGGAGCACAGTAAATAAGCACACTGTAGAAAAAGAGTGGAGTGTGGAGTTGTCTCAATCTCAGCAACTTCTGATATGTGGACTTTAAACCAGAATTTCCAGCAATGGGTAAGCTGGCTGGGAAAATCTAGAAGTTGAACTCCCTGTATCTGCAAGTTACCACATTTAGAAAAAAAAATAGCTATAGGAATCTGGGGATCCTTTGTACCCAACATTCTCTCTGACTGGCTGTCAGAAATAATAATGTAACTGATCCCAGGAAACTACCGTATAAATTAGGGATTCTCCTTATGTGACAGAGATGATCCACCACTAGGTGGATTCACAACTGGCTGGCAAACCGTACTCAACGAGTAGTCCTTAATGGGTCTAAGTCTACATGGAGGGAAGTAAGCAGTGGGGTGCCACAAGGTTCCGTCTTAGGCCCAGTACTCTTCAATATCTACATGAACGACTTAGATGAGGGAATAGAAGGGGAACTTACCAGATTTGCAGATGATACTAAGCTGGCAGGAATAGCTAACACCCAAGAAGATAGGCTCAAGATCCAGATGGATCTTGACAGACTAGAACACTGGGACATATCTAACAAAATGAAATTCATTGTAGAGAAAAGTAAAGTCCTACACTTAGGCAAGAAAAACCAAAAGTACACAAATAGACTGGGTGAAACCAGGCTCAATAGCAGTAACTGTGAGAGGGATCTTGGAGTCTTAGTGGACAACCAGCTAAATATGAGCCAGCAGTATGCAGCAGCAACCAAAAAAGCTAACGCAATCCTAAATTGTATTAACAGAGGGATACCATCAAGATCAAGGGAAGTACTAATACCACTCTATAAAGCCTTAGTAAGACCACACCTAGAGTACTGCATCCAGTTTTGGTCATCACACTATAAAAAAGATGTTGAGATTCTAGAAAAAGTACAGAGAAGAGCAACCAGGATGATTAGGGGACTGGAGGCTAAAACATACAATGAACGGTTGCAGGAACTGGGCTTGGCTAGTCTAGTGAAGAGAAGGACCAGGGGAGACATGATAGCGGTCTTCCAATATTTGAGGGGCTGCCACAGGAAGGAAGGGGTCAAGCTATTTTCTAAAGCACCTGTAGGCCAGACAACGAATAATGGATGGAAACTGAACAAGGAGAGATTTAACCTGGAAACAAGGAGAAACTTTCTGACAGTGACAACAATCAATCAATGGAACAGCTTGCCCTCGGAAGTTGTGGGAGCGCCATCACTTGAGACTTTGAAGAAGAGGTTGGACTGCCATTTGTCAGAAATGGTGTAGGGTCTCCCGCTTGGGTGGGGGGTTGGACTAGATGACCTACAAGGTCCCTTCCAACTCTGATTATCTGTAAACATCTGATAGCAGAGAAAAGGTAGAAACCTGAGTATAAATGTACAAATATCCCATTTTGTGCTTACAGGTGTGAAAGCTGTAGTGCTGTCTTCCACTCAGAATGCAAAGAGAAGGCCGTTCCATGCCCCAGGTGTGTGAGGAGAGAGCTACAGATGAAGCAGAAATCTTTCTGGAGAAGACTGAATATGGATGAGAGCTTGGAAGAGGCCTGCAACATGTTTGAATTGTCCTACCAGAATACATGATCTGAGGGGGAAATGTGACAACCTACACCTTTTCCCAGCTTGGAATGAATGCTTCTAAAGGCACTGGTTGATTGCCAGGGAGAATAGTACAAAAAAATTGTATATGTATGTTTTGTTCCTGAATAGCTGGAGTTCAGAATGCTAAGAAAATCAAAGGCTAAATTGCAATTATGAATTGGTTAGGGAACCAACTGGTGTTACACCAAAAGTAGTTTGTTTGAAATATTATCTGCATTGATTGCATTTTCTTTGCATTGAAAGCTCTCATTAGCTTTTATTTATTATTGGACTTCAAGTGATCTTTTTTGGTAGAAATAGATGGCATTGCTATTTAAAGTTCACAAACTACTTATGACAATGGGCCTGTGGATAAGTATTTGTAGAGCTTTTTGCAGCTTAGAAAGATGACTTAATAAACTGCTTGTATGAATATTTTCTCTGCTCCCCCAAAATCAGTCTAGGTCCATTTTAGAAGCACAGCATGGTAATTGTCCTTACAACCTCTGTAAGCCAAGTGCTAAAACTTGCCTAAGTCTTGTATTAATATTCCAGAATACTAGAGAAATTGCTTTCAGTGATGAAATATTCACAGTTGAATACTTGTTCATGACATTGTTGTTCACAAATCATTAATTCAGATTCTGATTGTCTCACATGTAACACCATAAAGCTTGAATATTTAATCCCCTTTGATGTTAAATAATGTACTGTATATTGCTTTGCTCATACCTTGTAGAAGAAATTTCCTGCATTTGGATGATGGAACTAGAATCTGACTCTTTGCTGCAATTAACATTCCTATTCTATTAGTATATATACCAAGGCTGTGAGTACTGTAGCAGAGTCAATAAGAGCTTGAACACTTCACCCTGAAAGTGAAATTTCTTGTACACTTTTAAATACTGCACTGGGACATATGTTTTAACCACTTAACATGCAATATTTGAAAATAATGAAAATATTACAAAATGGTTCCAAATCAATCTTTGGACTTTCAGTATTCCTTTTTTAATATATAGCAGAGTGAATATTGGAAGTTTTTACTTCTGCTTTCAACTAACCATAATTTAACATATTCCAGTCCAGACAGCAACAGGGATTAGCGTTTACTATGATTAATTGAAACAAGCCATCTGTAAACCTTGTTTTTGATGTCCTCCTTGCTATAGTGAAGGATAGTACAAGTTAAATCTGGCTTGGTACTGGTATATATCAAATCAAGAGTAGCCACTTAATTTGTGCAGGCAAAGGAACACTTTTGATTTCTCTCTCTACTTCCTCCCCTCAAACTGCAAGTTACTTTCTCTGCATGTGTTATGTTAATTTGTTATAGATTGACTGTTGGCAATTGCATATCTGGAAGACAAACAGACAGGGGTGTCAAACCTGCATCGTCACATGATGTATCGGGACTTTTTTCCCCTTTGCTAAACTGGGCAGGGGCATGGCCAGCCCGTGATGAATCCGGCTGCAAGTTTGACAGCCTTGGACTAGGAAGAACCACAAAGCATGTTATTTAAATTTATTTATTTATTTATTTTATAATTTAATTTATAATCTTGTTGATGTACTGCTTGGTTCTTCTGGGCTAGTTGGCACCCAGTTTTTATGTGCAAATAGGCTAACTGCAAATGATGTTCGTAAGGAATGGTCATCTGCTTTGTCTTTAAAATTACTTTCATATATGTATAGAGCTATGCATTTGTCAGTAAGTTGAAGCCCATATATTACATTGAGATTCATTTTCATTGCTTCTTTTACTTAAGCATAAGTAGTAAAAGAGAGAGAAAGAAAGAAAAAATGAGTGATTGTGTATTTTACTTTTGCAGGATTTCCAGAATCCAGAGTGAAGAAGTTGGTATAAATAACCTGTTTTGTTTTGTTTTGATGTTTGCTTTTGGGAAGGGGATATCTTTTTAAGGCAGATTGGGCAAGTGAATCAAGCATGTGGAATGTGTTTGCTAACTTTTTTTTCAATGTATTGTAAAGTTTTATTATTTTTGTACATCTCCTTAAGTTGCCCCATCAATTTCTTCATTTTATCCAATGAGTTATTAAAAGTGAAGTTAAAGGATGGTTTTAGTGTGTCATTGCATACAGCTCCTATCCACTACCTCATTTCTTTGTTTTGTGTTCACTATGCTCTTAATGTTGGTTCTCAGTTTGCTTTTTTGGAACAATTGGTTGCTAAATGTTTTTCAGTTTATGGAGGTCTCATGGTGATGCCAAGAGTTCTTAAGATATTTTTGAGATTATGGCTGCATTTATTTTGGTCTGCAAGTCAACCTATAGTTATCTCTAAGAAGCTTAAATAACACAGCAACCACAACTGCCACTCAATGCAAAATATGTCTGTGTTGAAGAGAATGCAGGCATTCAGGGTTGTTGTTCAGAGTATATTTCTGTTAACTGCATTTGCATGGGATCTGATAAGCATGTTCCCCCAAATCCTTCAAACTGCAGAGTCATCACAATTCTGCAGTTCAGTGGCACATTTTTAATTCCAATGAGACTTGTGTTCAGTATAATGCAATCTTTGGAACCACAGGTATGTCCCAGCAAGGACTTTTGATGCCACTTGCTGATTTCCCCAGAAGGTCCAGCCAGTGCTGCTTCTCTATGTCACCCTCTGCCACCTCTGCATTCCTTCCTACTATAGAAAATCCATTAAGGAGGGAAAGATGGAATGACCACAAGGATAACAAGGTGCATGTAAAGCAATATTTTGGATATCCAGAATTGAGAGATTTTTTATTTGATTAGTGCTAGGTATAATTTGCTCACTCCTTAATTAGAAAGTCTATGGAGATTCTCAGTCACCCAGGTCATGGTTTTCCCAAAGGTTTTTCCAAGAGGCAATGGATTTTCTGTTTTTTCTTTGAAGACATTTTGCTTCTCATCCAAGAGCTTCTTCAGCTCTGATTGGATGGTATGGAATGGAAGGATTTATACTCCTTGCAAACAGCTGGTCATTTGCATTCTTTTAGAGAGTCATTGAGTGTCAGCTGGTGCTCCATTCAAAATCCAAGAAAGAAAGACTCCATTAAACAGAGAAAAGATATCTTTTACTGGAAATCAAGTGGTAGCAACAAAAGAATTCTGGATCTGAGAAAATGAGTGCATAAATCACATATACAAAGTGATGGCAACGTTCCCACCCCCAATAGTTCAATTGGCTCATCCAATTAAAAGTGGTTTATATCATCATGTGGGTATCTCCAGGTGGTGATGAGGCCTCTGTCCGTTGACCTTGACATATTTTGATAAAGAGTTGCAGCTGC